GGCAGTTACGAATCCTCTTACATTGTTAAGCTCTCAGGACTTAGTCAGTAAGAATACTGGCAGTTGCGAATCGTCTTACATTGTTAAGCTCTCAGGACTTAGTCAGTAAGAATACTGGCAGTTGCGAATCGTCTTACATTGTTAAGCTCTCAGGACTTAGTCAGTAAGAATACTGGCAGTTGCGAATCGTCTTACGTTGTTAAGCTCTAAGGACTTAGTCAGTAAGAATACTGGCAGTTGCGAATCGTCTTACGTTGTTAAGCTCTACATGCTGTTTTACCGACTTTATTATATTTTTCATATTTTGAAAAGGGCTATTTTACTACTTTGTCAAAAAGTGGAGGTCCTGTGTTCAACCATCTGTTGCACCAAACGTATTTGTGACTGTCTTTACTTTATACTGTGTTATACAATAGTTGAATTTGAAGTTACACATTATTTGATGGGAATTGCTCCAGTCATCTGAAAGTGATTTATTTTTGTCTAAAATAATTTATTCATTCTTGACCACAGTCCAGAACCATGAACTGGACAACTTTCTACTAGAAGTAGCCAAGTCATAAGAAACTTGTAAAGATGCGTGTTAAAATGATTTGAAAATGAGGATGAGATTTTTGGTTAGTGGTGTTATCTTAAGATAAGGCATAAGATGTAAAAGCCTACTATCGATATTACTTTTTAAAAAATCACTATCATATGAATTCTTAAGGAATAGTACCAAAAATGCCAAATCTTTGTTTATTGCTTTGGCGTTTAAATCTCTACGGACAGAGAAGCTATTCTTAAATTTGTCCAAGTTTCAGAATTTTTAGAGATATTTATCGTTTTTCTAAATTTAATTATTTAGTAATTTGATAAAACTTCTTTTCATTAGATTGTTACCAATGCTACTGTGATATTTGAATATATTATATGTTTCTTCTTTCTGCAGTGTTATAATACTGGTTCTAAATTCTTTTGCTGTTCTGAATATGTGCAGGTTTCCACATAACTCGTGATCAAGAAACGTCGTAAATTTGATCTTGTTTCAAATTACCTTCACCTTTGCTTATTTGTCATTCTCGAAGTTAGGTGATACCTGGTATCGCCCCCTGACAACACTGCTATCATGTGACCTTGTACAAGCTTAAGGCATTGTCCTCTCCACAGAAAACTTGACTTCCTACATGGATGATCTGTGCTGTTTGAACAGTAAAATTTACCCTACAATGGCTTCAGTAGATCGTGAGAATATTCTCATTGTGGAAAGGTTGCCAAGTGAGACGCTACCTGGTGTGAGAGACTTCTCTCATTAACATTTCATTCTGTCGTAATGAAATTCAGAGTAGCTTCGGATCACTCACATGAACCATTGACCATTTCCTCCAGGCTCCCGTGTTGTGTCAGAGTCGAATCCATCCGTGGATCAACCAATCACCAATGCATACCAGAATTTCTCGCCATCAGGGAAGGATTAGTTCTACGTTATATAACTCATTATACGTGTTTTGGACCCAGGTTTTCCGAGATTGTGCAGATCTTTAAAAAAATGACGGCAAGAAGAGACTCAAGGCTGACCTCTGGATTAAGCCATTCATGGGCACTTGGAGTATACGCTTTCAATGGGTGTATTTTGCCTGATGCACATGCGAAGACAACAGAAATATCGCTTGATCAAAGGTCTCATGGATTTCTTGACTTCTAAAAGTAGTCTTAAGGGCGAGTTATGGTCGTAACCACTTGACTATATACTACACAATTGATTGGATTTCAAACTAGACTTTTACTAAAGATCGAATTCTGGATGCTTCTGATGATCTTGCTTCGATTAACCAGTAATTTGTAGTTAATTTTCTTAGATACCAAAACCTTTGTGGATCCTGAATGGAAACCTATGTCATGGTTCTAGCAGCTACACGGTAAAGCCAGATCCAAACATTGCCAATGACTATACAGACTTTACCAGTTATCAGAGTCATCAGTGCCATGGCAATGATATTGGTATCTGAAGTGAAATTGTTTTGAATTTCGTGCAACACGATGGCTATCTGCGCTAGCCATCCCTAATTTGGCAGAGAAAGACTACTCTTGGGCTACTATTTTACCAAAGAAAAGTGGGATTGACTGTCACATTATAACGCTCCCACGGTTGAAAGGGCGAGAATGTTTGGTGGGACGGGGATTCGAACCCGCGACCCTCAACTTGCGAGCCAAGTGCCCTAACCACTGGCCATACCGGGCCTACTCTAGACGAGCTTTTGTTATTTTGATCATGGTTCTTTCGGTTGAATTGTTAATAATACCACGACATCCATTTCGCTCTACAGACGATTTTTTGTTATTTAATCTATAATTATTATTCTTGATACCATGTGACGTAGCAAGCCAATGACGATCAAGTATTATTGTATTTAAAAACCTAATGACAGGTTGCACATGAAAGAACTATAGAATAAGAATAGTAAACTATTCGAAAGCGCTCGAGTTTTGTGTCTTATTTTAAGTCTATTACACTTTACATGTGATCCTTTGTGGTAACTCTTTCATCAAAACTGCGATATTTGTTATATCCATTTATACATAAATCTGATAGCCAATGAAACAGTCAAATGTCAGCATCCCCAAACATCACACTCTTTTTTTTTTAATGACGTCTTTTGCGCTTGTAGCTGAAGGGACAACTCTGAAATTTGTAGGATAACGTTTGTCTGATTTCGAGTGTTTGTTATTAAGCATAAAACTACACAATGAGCTAACTGTGCTCTGCCCATCGTGGGTATCGAAATCCGAACTGTACTTTTGTAAGCTGTGATATTTATCACTTAACCACCGGTGGGCTTAATGGTTAACATTAATTATAGGTGGATAGTTCAAGCCGTTTTAACCGCGTCTCCGTTCTACACACCTATACTATTTGAAACCTATATTTGACCAGTGCTGGTATCTCATAAGAAGAAGGGTCCATGTATCAATTTATATATTTTAATTTAATAAAAAAACTATTTCTCTGTATATTTCAAAGCTATGACTTCTGTTTATTTGTTGTATTTTAACATACTTTGTGTGGCCTATTATGTTTCATATAACTACGATTTTATATACTTTTTTAGCTTACTTCTAATGTGCATATAGCATCCAGCTTGTTAATTTTGATAACTAAAATATATTTTTAACGATGAAGATATTTTGGACAAGTTGTTGACATTCTTTTGATGATTTAACGACGTTTGTATTTCGTTCATAGTTTGACCTATTGCTGCAACATTCCACTCAGTAAATCGAGGATCGTGACTTGTTGAATCAGATAAGAGTAGCCCAAGAGTTGGCGGTGGTGTTGTTAATTAACTGCCTTCTCTTCAGTCTTGTATTAGCATGGTGTGGTGGTTAAGGTGCTCCACTTGCGAATCCTGTCACCTAACGTGTTCGCCCTTTCAGCCATGGGGACGTTGTAATGTGACAGTCACCCCCCCCCCCCACCTTGCGTTGGTAAAAAAAATATATAGCTCAAGAGTTGACGGCGGATGGTGTTAAATAGCTGTATTATCTCTAGTTCAGAGGTCGTCAACCCTTCAAAGAAGAAGATTCTTTTTTTGGTTAAGATCAAAACATTTCGAGAGCCACAACTTGTCCTAGGCCTAACGTTACGTTCCACTTCAAACCGTCTAATGAGGCCTTGGTACATCCGCTTACATTTCACATTTAAAATCCAGTTGGTTGACGATTGTTGTGTTGGCAATAAAGGCTTTGGAATTTGAATGTAAAAGGGGAGCGGATGTGGCGTGCAACTGTACCCCATTTCTTTTATTAAAAAATAAATAAAAAAGTCTAGAGAAATAAAATAAATCTGATATTACCACTCCGTCTGTATGCCTGATTGAACATTTAATTTTTTATTCCGACAAATGGGAATTTATGCTTTTTTTGGGGGGGAGTATTTATAAAGAGACGCGTGTAATTACATAAAAAGCCGGGGGTTGCCAACTACTGGACTAGTCTATTACTTTTAAAGTAGCAACATCTAGCGCAGGTAACCTCAAGAAGCTTTGGGCGAAGTTGAACTAACAAACGGTCCTATAATCTATGAAATAAAAGTTTCGGACTGCTTCAGTAAATATTCTTTTATTTAGCCCAACACGAAATTCTGAAAGAAACAAACAAGACGAGATGATAATAGTTGGAGACGGCTCGAATGGATAATGAAGAAAAACTTTAATATAACTTTAACATAACAGCAAATGTACAACGTTTCGACAAGGTTTT